AGGAAAGACATCTGGGTGGATGTTATGGTGTAGCGACTGAGAGAACAGACAATGGTGACCGTCTGTTGCAACTATGCTCAGATAACCGCCTATTATTAGCGAACACCAACTTTAGGCATAAAGAAAAGCATCTGTTGACCTGGCGACCCCCGAAATCGTCTCAAAGTTGGACCCAACTAGATCACATCGCCATCAGCCACCGATAGAGGGGTTCGATAGAAGACTGTCGCTCGTTCTGGGGCACATGTTTGGATTCAGATCATGCTCTAGTGCGAGCTCGTATCTGTTTGAGGCATATTGGACGTAGGAAAGACAGCCTCTTAGGGTTTTACTTAATGACAATCAAACTAAGAAAATATTTCAAGAGCAACTAGAAAGAGAGTTAAGCAACGATGTAAGTGATTCCCATCCAGAAGCAGGTTGGTATGATATCAAAAAGGCTGTGGAAACAGCAGTGATATCTGCTAGTAAGGTAAACCATAAGGCTAGAATGAAGCCGTGGATATCAGTCGCATCCACCGAACTGATGGATGTCAGGAGACTAATCCAACCTGGCACTGAACATGATGAAGAACGAAGTCAGCTTAGGCGCAGGCTGATAAAAAGTCTGCGTAACGACCGCGAACAGTGGTGGGTGGTGAAAGCAAAAGCGATGGAAGAGGCAGTGGCGATCGGCAATAGTAGAAAACTTTTCCGAATAATCAAGGAAACCGGTATTAGGAACCCGAATGTGAATGAGACTGTTTCGGAAAAGGGTGGCTGTATCATTTATTCTCAATCCAGGAGACTGGACCGATGGGCAGAACACTTTAGGGATCAGTTCAACTGGCCTCGAAGCACACTTCGGCTGCCCACGATCCCCAGTCATCCTGAATGGCAAATCGATTTAAGTCCTCCTAATCGACATGGAGTTGAGAAAGCTATAGGAGATCTAAAGTGAAGTAGAGCAGCCGGTCCTGATAGGCTTACCTTTGAGATGTTTAAGGATGGCGGTCCAGTTTTAACAGTTAGACTGACCGAAATTTTAGGTAGAATCTGGGAACTGCACGTAATCCCATCTGAATGGTCTCAGTCGATAATTGTCCCAGTCTACAAGAAAGGACAAAAGTCCTCTTGTGGCAATAACTAATATAGTTTCTAAATTTTTAGCCTCCACTATACTTATTCGCCTACATAGAGCTCGTGAAGAGCAAACTCGAGAAAACCAGGCTGGTTTTCGACCTGGACGTGGTTTTATAAACCACATCTTCACACTATGGCAGGTCGTGGAACACAGACACACATTTAGACGTCGTACAATAGTTGTCTCCCTGGATGTTGAGGCGGCATTTGACTCTGTTGATCGTGAGGTTCTTTGGCGGTGTCTGTCATTGCAAGGTGTGCCAAAGAAGTACATTAACCTTATAAAAGCTACAGGTCAAGTAAGAGCTTATGGCGAACTGTTACCGGAATTCTCTACATCAAGTGGTGACCGTGAGGGATGTTCACTTTTCCCATTCTTTAATTTTGTCATAGACATACTCGTAGATATAATCTTACCCTCGTCTGAATTTTCAGGGGTGGAATTCCTGCCAGGAGAATCGCTTGTTGACTTAGAATATGCCGACGACATAGTTCTATTTGGTGAAGACGCCTGACAAAATGCAGAGTCTTCTGACCACCCTAAGCAACAATGCAAGCATGTTGGGGATGCGGTTTTCCTCCTTGAAATGCAAAATGTTGCTTCAAGAATGACTTGCATCGGTAACTGAACTAGTGATGGGGAGTGAAGTAGTCGAGTGTGTGGACTGCTTCACTTACCTTGGGAGTCTCATCAGTGCTGATGGCCTGGTGACCGACGAACTCTTAGCACGGATACAGAAGGCTCGATTGGCTTTTGCCACCTGCGTCATTGATGGTGTAGGCAAGATATCTGTTTGCTGAGTAAAGGACGAGTGTATTGCTCAGCAGTACGCTCCGTTCTCTTTATGGATGCGAAACATGGCCGGTAGGAGTAGAAGATATTCGTAGGTTGCTTGTTTTTGATCATAGGTGTCTCTGAAGCATTGCTCGTGTATCATGGAACAACTGAGTAAGCAATGCTGTTATTAGGAGATCTGTACTAGGTAAGGATGGCAGGTTAATAAATGAAGTAGTGAAACTTCATCAGTTGGGGTGGTTGGAACATTTGTCGCGTATGCCCAACCACCGACTGCCTCGTCGAGCCTTGTTTTGTATTGTGGGAATAGGTTGGAAGAAAGTTAGGGGCGGCCAGACCAAAACATGGCAGAAATCCATGAAATCACTGACAATTGGACTGAGTGGTGTTGGTAGATGTAGGCTACGTGGTTGGAGTCCGCGAGAAGATAATAATCGATGGTTAGAGACTTTGAACTACATGGCTCAAAACCGTTTGCAGTGGCGCCGGTGCATTTATTGTTTGCGTTCTCTCAAATGCTAATCTTCTGGATTCGTCAGCACCTCTATCTTTGTCGTTCGAACCTTATCTCACTGAATAATATCTTCAAACCCTAGTTCTCTTCATTACCATTAATACCTCTACTATCTCTATCACCTGGGATTTGATTGGACATTTGCGTCTCTGTGCTAATGTGGTATGGCAACCTGAACTTATGTACATACGTACGAAGTTCTATGTTGCAACTGACTGAAACTGATTCCTCTGTGATTTTCACAAGAGGACTTTAGTTCTTTCTTCCTGGTTTCCCATACCGTGGAAGGTTATTTCTTGAGGATGCTGAAAAGAATTTTGTGCTAGCATTGGTCGTAGTGATCTGGGATCGTGACGGTAGAACGCAAGGAACAACTGCTTGAGGCCAGTCCCGCATACCTTTTTTATTGAAAGTTTTAGCGTGTTATCTGCTTTCTTCGAAAGGCTTTACCACCGGAGACAGAAATCCGTGGAGTAAAATAAGGTGTGACATTTTTAGGGTAGACTTTTTCCAGCTCCTTCCCTATGTTGTGCGAAGGCAGTTTCGCTGCAGATACTGATTGTCCGAGGAAAACCGCTTACTGCTGTTACACTCCTCTACAGTCAGCAGTAAGATTTCGCCCTGTGATCTTAAGCTGCTGCTTTTAGTCTTATCGTTCTCCTGTCTACCTGCTTGGCATGGTATGACCTAAAGTAACAGGTGTTCTAGGCAATACAGCTTGGTTGGTTCATCACAGTAGGCAAGCCCGGTCTCCACGTCGAGATAGTCGCTGCTGTTGTGCCTTCCCAGTTTTTTGAAACTTATTCTTTTCTTGTAAATCTCTCTGGAGAGAATGTAGAGCATCTTTGTAGTTACTTCTATGTCTGACTTCAGTGATTCCGCTGGTATGCTGCCTGATCCTTCTGCTTCTCCACTCTTTGTCTGATAACGTGACTGATTCCCTCACTTTTGGTGGGGTGACATTTACAGGAAGCTCTTTATGTGCTGCTTCGATGTTGGATAGGTTCAGTTGAGCTGGTCTACTTAAGAGTTCTTCAAAGTGCTCTTGCTCACGTGTGTTGCTGCTCTTGTATCTCAATGATTGATTTGTCTTTGTTCTTGACTAAGTCGCTTTGGTGTACTATATTTCTCTGCTAGTTCCTACTTCGAGTCATACAATTTTCTCATGTTGCCTTTTATTTCAGCTTTTTCCTCTGTACTTGCTAGTTCTTTCATATATTCTTGCTTATCAGCTCTACGTTTCCGCTTCACTCGCTTGTTAACTTTGATTTTTTTGTTCTTGTTGAACTGTTTTTGATTGTTGTCTCATTGCCCCCCCCTTTCTCGAATCTCACTCAATGTATCAATAGAGAACCAGCATCTCCTGATATATTGAAGTTATTGTTGCTTAAATTCCTTTTCAGTTATTCTCCATATTGGTTTGTTCTTTTAGTAGTTCTTATAAAGCTTGGAACCTATTTCTGATAGCGATCTTGAATTTATTGAGTTTGTTTGCATATTGAAAGAAGTTTGGATTTTATTTTTGTAATGGTGATGCTCCAGTCATGCAGTGCTTCTTGGCCGTCAACAGATGATTGGAAGCTGTGTCAGCTCTACTTTTTGTTCTCATGTTTTTCATAGACCTGAATTTTTTATCCATGTATATTTAATTGAACTTCTTTTCTGTAATGTGGTCCAGTGAAACCCATCTATCTGTTAATACATTTAATCGGGAGGAACGTTTCTACTTTAGAGTGTTGCTGAAACATGCTCATCTACTTGTTTCGCACTATTTTCGTTTATTTTACCCAGTCTATGTTATCCTATGATGCATTCATACCCGGTCTAGGAGTTCTGGTCTCCCATCAGGGTGCTCAGGTCTGTTCCTGGGGATTTCATGGGCATATACTGCTGCCTCATATAATTGATCTTTGTTATCTTTGCTGCTATGAATGATGAATGCCTAGAGCTAGATAGCATGGTGATTCTTTCTTTTATTTTAAAAAATTCTTTAATGATTCTGAACCCACAGGTTTCTCATCCTATGAATACTTTCGTACTTCTTTAGACAGCATCAGTATAACTCTGTTTGTGTATCGCATTTTCTTCATGGCAAGAATACACTAACAGCTTTCTTGAAGTCAGTGTCTTCTATTCATGTTGAGTTTCACTTATTCCAAACAGAGCTCTCTGAATGATCCCTAGGTTCCTCACATTGTTTGAACATTTTGTATACCAAAGTTAATTGCTGCTTTGGTTTTAAAGGGAGAGAGAGAGAGAGAGAGAGAGTCGTCGTAGCTCTTCCATATGAAGTCCTTTCAACTCCCAAGACACAGTTGAAACGGTTTTTTCCGGTTAAAATTTTTATTACAAATTCCTTTTTACAAGTTGTGGTTTCCAACCTTATGCCTCTATAGATATAATATATATTATATATATATATATATATATATATATATATATATTATATAATCATATAATATGTATTGTCTATTTAGGATGCAATTATTAATTTGTAGTTTGATGTTCTACTAAAAGAGTTAATAGTTGTTTATATCGTTGTCTTGTGTGTTTTAATGTTTTCATTAGGTTCTTTAGCTAATTCTGTTACTGACTCGTTCTCTTTGATGGGTGGCGCTAGTGGTGGCTGTTATGCTCTTATTGGCGCTCATTTAGCTACCGTAATAATGGTATGTTGGGTCTTTCATGTAACTGAGTATTTTTACGAAATCTCGTATAATATATAGTTAACTGCTGTGAGTTTATCACCTACCGATTGATTGTGTATAAAATTTAGTAGTGTAAGTAGGCTAGTAAAAGGTTCTGGAGTTTCGATAATAAAAACCTAGTAATGAACTATCAATCAAACCTGTAGCATACTATAATCTCAAATAAGAAATACTAGATAAGTAGACATGTTTTTAAACTCAAAAGGCAAATTGTGTAAAATATAATATTTCCTTCGCCCAAGTTTCTAAAATAGATGGTTCATTTCGGACCTGTATAGGTGGATTTTCTCTTCGTCGACACTAATTAGCGGAGTTGTTTTGATAAAATTAGTCTTCTGGTAAATCTATCGATGTAATACAATACAATGACTGAAATGACCGAGCTGGTCATCCACCCAATGAGAAAAACTTATTTCAATGATTTCATTTACTTAAGGTTTACAATCGTGTCAATGATTTATTTGTTTGCCAAAAATAGTTGTCTATAGTACGGTATTGAACATTTAAAAAGAAACCGAAGTAGTTTCTTGTCATAAGTTCTTAACAAAGGTCGCTTATTTAAATGTATTTAGGTAATAATTCGAAAAGTAATGGAAAATGGTTAGGTCAAGATGTTTGTAAACACAATAAACACTAGGAACAGACTGATTAAAAGTTGTCAAAACGGCTAAATAAAAGTTGTGAAAATTAACTACAAAGATCTAAACAAAGTGGTAAATTATAGAAAATTAAAAGAAGTGGTAAATGAACTGTATTTTAATGGATTGGACGTACTGTTTTCGTACACTAAACTTAGGCTTGATTAGTGGATAGCTATGGCCTTTGCTGTACACAATTTCGTTATTAGTATTCCTTTCGAATCGATTCTTGCAACCGTATGAATGATTCTAAAGAAGGACTCAGGTGAAACAGAACAATAACAATCAACTAAGTGGTACAGATTTAATCCTTTAATTGGTATATGCAGTCCTGTAGACTGCTAGGCAGGGTAATGTCTGCAGATGCTTTTCGAAAGAGCACGAGCAAGTAAATAACTGCACATTAATTTGGCCAAGGGGCGGGCTTATCAACCACACAACTACTGAACAAATGTCGACTAGCGAAGACGATTCTAAGTCTATCCAAATAAAATGTTTTTCCGAAGGATCTCTATCTTTTTTCGGAATCTCTGCTTAAGTATCTCCTTCAGACTGAATGTTCATAGAGCGATATTTTTCACGTTGATTGTTTGTGTCTGTTTGCTGATGTTCGTTACGTTATAGTAGTTACATCCGCAAATAAGTTTTGTTTAGCGTTACTAATAATATTTTATTAAAGTTAAAGCTGTTTCCTTTAAAGTGTGGTTGTATTTTCTGAATACTTTAGAACTGGGATATAATGCAGGAGGGATGGCTAAAAGACCCTTTAAACTTTATATCAAGTGGTGTTGTCAGGTTACTTCTAATCATTGTACTTGGTGAGTTTTAATTTTCATATATCACACATCATACTACTTAAATAATTCTTCTACTTCTACTAATGTCTCATTTAGTTTTTTTTTCGCAATATGCACTTATGTTATTCTAGCGTGTGGTATCCCCGTTTTGTTAATCCACCTATATTATATAGATAGGCGGTTTTTTTCTGTCGATCGTACCTTCTGTATGAAATATTCTCTGACTCCCCGACCGTAGCTGCTACCTGTGGTGGTCGGGCTTGCCTATCGTGATGACCCAACCGAGCTATACTGGCTGGAACATATGTTCCTGCAGGTCCTACCATGCCAGGCTGATCGATTGGAGAACGATGAGACTAAAAGCAGCTACCCAAGGTCTGAGGGCGAAGTCGTACTGCTGACTGCAGAGGGGTGTGACAGCAGTAAGGTGTTTCCCTCGGACAACCAGCATGTGCAGCGATGCTGCCTTCTCACAAGGAAGGAAGGGTTAGAAAAGGTTGGCCCTAAAAATGTCACACCTCCCCTAGCTCACGGATTTCCGTCTCCTTGGGTAAGGGTGCCCACTAAGGGCCTTTAAGAACGGAGCTAATCCGCAAAAAACATTTCATAAAAAGGCCGTGCGTGACCGGCCTGAAGCAGTTGTCCGTTGGGCTCTGCGGTCACGCACCAACACTAATCCATCTTCCTTTTCAGGTCCCTCAAGAAACAACCTTCCACGGTGTGGGCAGCCGGGAAGTGACAACCGCCCTCATACCCGTAACAGCACGCAAGATCAAATTGGTCAAAATCAAATCCTTCCTACACCCCCTAATGTCTCTCTTATCTCTACGACTAACTCTACTCACACTCCCTTTTCTCACTGCACCGCTAATGCAGACGAAGCGAGATCACGAAACGTCGTTCCTGGACTCTTGAAACCCCTTTCTAGACTACATGTTGGAGCTTTTAATGTACGGACATTGTGTCAAATAGGGCAACAGGAATCATTAGATAGGACTTTAGAAACTCGTGCCATCGATGTGTGCTGCGTCTCGGAAACGCGCATACAGTATCCTAGTAAAGTCATTAACCTGATTCCACCTTGTCAAAACGAAGAAGCAGCCCGATTCACTGTTCGTGTATCCGGTAGCCCTGATGCTGCTTCCAGGGGTCTTGCTGGCGTAGGCATAGCGTTGAGTCCTAGGGCAGAATTATCTCTCCTAGACTGGATCCCAGTAGATAGTCGTTTGTGCGCTGTCCGACTAAACGGGACAGTGAGGACTCGTAAGGATAGGGACACTCGCCGTTGCCTCTTCGTCATATCTGCCTATGCCCCCACTGACTGCAGTGCAGACGAGGTTAAAGATGAGTTTTACAGAAAGCTTTCGGACCTTCTCCAAAAAGCTAGGCGCTCTGATATAGTAATAATGGCTGGTGACTTTAATGCTCAAGTAGGTAGACTAGGTGATAAGGAAAGACATCTGGGTGGATGTTATGGTGTAGCGACTGAGAGAACAGACAATGGTGACCGTCTGTTGCAACTATGCTCAGATAACCGCCTATTATTAGCGAACACCAACTTTAGGCATAAAGAAAAGCATCTGTTGACCTGGCGACCCCCGAAATCGTCTCAAAGTTGGACCCAACTAGATCACATCGCCATCAGCCACCGATGGAGGGGTTCGATAGAAGACTGTCGCTCGTTCTGGGGCACATGTTTGGATTCAGATCATGCTCTAGTGCGAGCTCGTATCTGTTTGAGGCATATTGGACGTAGGAAAGACAGCCTCTTAGGGTTTTACTTAATGACAATCAAACTAAGAAAATATTTCAAGAGCAACTAGAAAGAGAGTTAAGCAACGATGTAAGTGATTCCCATCCAGAAGCAGGTTGGTATGATATCAAAAAGGCTGTGGAAACAGCAGTGATATCTGCTAGTAAGGTAAACCATAAGGCTAGAATGAAGCCGTGGATATCAGTCGCATCCACCGAACTGATGGATGTCAGGAGACTAATCCAACCTGGCACTGAACATGATGAAGAACGAAGTCAGCTTAGGCGCAGGCTGATAAAAAGTCTGCGTAACGACCGCGAACAGTGGTGGGTGGTGAAAGCAAAAGCGATGGAAGAGGCAGTGGCGATCGGCAATAGTAGAAAACTTTTCCGAATAATCAAGGAAACCGGTATTAGGAACCCGAATGTGAATGAGACTGTTTCGGAAAAGGGTGGCTGTATCATTTATTCTCAATCCAGGAGACTGGACCGATGGGCAGAACACTTTAGGGATCAGTTCAACTGGCCTCGAAGCACACTTCGGCTGCCCACGATCCCCAGTCATCCTGAATGGCAAATCGACCTAAGTCCCCCTAGTCTTAATGACGTTGAGAAAGTGTTAGGAAATCTGAAACGAGGACGAGCTGCAGGTCCTGATAGACTTACCCCTGAGATATTTACGGATGGTGGTCCAGTTTTATCAGCTAGGTTGACTGAGATTTTAGGTAGAATCTGGGAACTGCACGCAATCCCATCCGACTGGTCTCAATCCTTGATTGTCCCAATCTATAAGAAAGGACAAAAGTCTTCTTGTGACAATCACAGGGGAATAAGTCTAACTAATATAGTATTTAAAATACTGGCCTCAATAATACTTCGACGCCTAACGAAAGCTCGTGAAGAGCAAACTCGAGAAAACCAGTCTGGTTTTCGACCTGGACGTGGCCGTATAGACCACGTCTTCACACTACTACAGGTCCTGGAACATAGACACACATTTAGGCGTCCTAAAATAGTTGTTTTCCTGGACCTTAAGGCGGCATTCGACTCAGTGGATCGTGAGGTTCTGTGGCAGTGTCTGTCATTGAAAGGTGTACCAAAGAAGTAGATTAACCTTAGACAAGCTCTCTACTCGAACACCACTGGTCGAGTGAGGGCTTATGGCGAACTGTCACCGGAATTCTCTACAACAAGTGGTGTCCGTCAGGGATGTCAACTTTCTCCATTTTTTGTTTAATTTTATCATAGACATGCTCCTAGAAATAACTTTATCCTCGTCTGAATTTTCAGGAGTAGACCTTCTACCAGGTGGCTCGCTTATTGACTTAGAATATACCGATGACATAGTCCTACTTGGTGAAGATACTGAAAAAATGCAGAGTCTTCTGACCATCCTGAGCACAACAATGCGAGCATGTTCGGGATGCGGTTCTCCCCCTTGAAACGCAAAATGTTGCTTCAAGATTGGTTTGCATCGGCACCTGAACTAGTGATAGGGAGTGAAGTAGTCGAACGTGTAGACCGTTTCACTTATCTTGGGAGTCTCATCAGTGCCGATGGCCTGGTGACTGACGAAATCTCAGCTCGGATACAGAAGGCTCGATTGGCTTTAGCCAACCTGCGTCACTTATGGCGTAGGCGTGATATCCGTTCTCTAATCAAAGGACGAGTGTATTGCTCAGCAGTTCGCTCCGTTCTCCTATATGGCTGTGAAACATGGCCAGTGAGAGTAGAAGATATTCGTAGGTTACTGGTTTTCGATCATAGGTGTCTTCGAAGCATTGCTCGTATACCGTGGGACAACCGAGTGAGCAATGCTGTCGTTAGGAAACGAGTACTAGGCAAGGATGGCAGATCAATCGATGAAGTGGTGAAACTTCATCAGTTGGGGTGGTTGGAACATTTGTCGCGTATGCCGAACCACCGGCTGCCTCGTCGAGCCTTGTTTTGTAGTGTAGGAATAGGTTGGAAGAAAGTTAGGGGCGGCCAGACCAAAACATGGCAGAAATCCATGAAATCACTGACAATTGGACTGAGTGGTGTTGGTAGATGTAGGCTACGTGGTTGGAGTCCGCGAGAAGATAATAATCGATGGTTAGAGACCTTGAATGACATGGCTCAAAATCGTTCGCAATGGCGCCGGTGCATTTATTGTTTGTGTTCTCTCAAACTCCTAATCTTCTGGATTCTTCAACACCTCTAGTTTCGACTCCCTAAACTTTTCTCACTGAATCATACTTCTTGAATAGTATCTTCTAACCCTAACCTCTCGGATTACTTTTAATACCTTTACTACCTCTTCTACTATTGGATTTGAATTGACAATTATATCTCTGTGTTGATGTGGTATGGCAACATGAACTGATGTACTTACGCACGAAGTTCTACGTTGCATCTGACTGACTGACTGATTCTCTGACTCCAATGTAATTCATATAATACTCCCACTTATTATTACTTATTATGTGATCGATTTATGTTACTTCTAAATCAATTGATCATAGTTTTAAACTGTAGTATATCTTCCTTTATGTGTTTATTAGGGTGATATTACTAGTCTCACGTATAATGGGTATATGACTATTTATGTGATGTCGTGTGTCTAAATTTCATACATTAGCTTCATGAGTTTTATATTTAAATTTAATAAACGAGTTCGTTCATCATGATAAGTGTTGAAGTGATTTCGGAAGAATGTGGTTATATTAAATTTATTGTATGATTTAAGAATGAGATCTAAATGTAAAGGTATTTTATTTCGATCTATAAATTTGCGTATGGTTATGAATCTTTATTGCCATGTGATAATATGCCTTGGACAAGAATAAGCGGTCATTTGATCACGAAATTGTGTGAGATGCCGTTCCATTTGAAGTGTACTTGCCGAGACCTGTACATGGTATCTGGTTAACTGGAACTAATGAAGCTTGTAAAATATCAGTATTGAAATTAGTTCTTGTATTTGGTTTGTGTGTTATTCATTCCATAATAAAACTGTTTAGTATTGAGACTTTTTAGATTGTTATGTACATGTGTCTAATAATGGTAAATCAGGATAATTTGGCCTTTCTAGAAAGCTAGTGTGAAATTGCTTTTAGTTATTACTTTGAAAAATTTCGTAATGTTTTGTAAATTTATATTATTCTCACCGACATTGATACATGTTCTGTGTTGTCTTTTTTCTAAACTTTTTAGGTGGTGGTGATACTGCGCTTGCCATATACGATAGATACACAAATCCAGATGACGATATACGTGTTGGTTTCTCTGCTCATTTCGGTGGTTTCTTAGCAGGTTACTAACTTATTCTCACCTTTGTTCTTTTTACTACTGATTTCCCTGCTATGTTTTCTTACTTCTGTCAGTCAGTTACAACGTAGAACTTCGTACGTACCGTATATAAGTTCATGTTGCCACGCCACAATCGCATAGATATGCAGTCGTCAGTTCAAATCCCATAGTTGTAGAAATAGTAGAAGTATTAGCGGTAATGGAGAAGATTAGGGTTCGAAGATATGATTTGAGAAGTATAACGCAGTGGGATAATTTTATAGAAAGATTGAGGTGATAACGAGTTCAGGAGATCAAAGAGTGGATGCACCTGTGTCATTGCAAACGATTTTGGGCCACGACATTCAAGGTCTCTAACCATCTGTTAGTATCGTCTTGCGGACGACAAACAGGTAGCCTACATCTACCAACATGACTCAATCTAGTTGTCAGTGACTTGATGGATTTGTGTCATGTTTTGGTTTGACCGCCTCTAGCTTTCTTCCAGCCTACTCTTACAACACAAAACATATCTCGTCGAAGCAATCAGTGGTTGAGCATACATAACACATGTCCCAACCACCTAAGCAGATGAAGTTTCACTACTTCATTTATTGATTTGCCATGCCTGCCTAGTACTTGTTTCCTAACGACAGCATTGCTTATTCGATAGTCCGAATATAAACGAGCAGTGCTTCGAAGACATCTATGGTCGAATACTGATAACGTACAAATATCCTCATGCTTCGCATCCCGACCGTAGCTGCTACTTTGTCGTGATGGTCGGGCTAGCCTATCGTGATAATCCAACCGAGCTATATTGGCTGGAACATATGTTCCTGTAGGTTATACTACGCCAGGCAGGTCGATTGGAGAACTGTGAGACCAGAAGCACTAACTCAAGGTCTGAGGGCGAAGTCGTGCTGCTGACAGACTCTAGAGAGGTGTGACAGCAGTAGGTTGTTTGCCTCGGACAGTCAGCATTTGCTACAGCGATGCTGCCTCCTCACAAGGAAGATAGGGGTTAGAAAAGGTTGGCCCTAAAAATGTCACACCTCACCCTACCTCACTGGTTTCCGTCTCCTACGGTAAGGCCCCTTAAATCGCGGAGCTAACTTAGACAATTTGTATTGGTAACTAATGATGGTTATTTTTGATCGACTATTTATTGTTTGTCGTTCACTCAGTAGTACATACTTTATTGGTTTCCATGTTGAATTCAATTTCAAGAGCAAGGACATAAACGTGTACACGGATAAACTACCTACTTACAAATTTACATTTTTCATATTTTTATGCTGCTTTTATCGCGTCCAAATTTGCAAAACAGTGACTTAATGGTTTTCCAATTACGCATTTGTTGATTCGAACATCATCTACTTTAGACATAAACGATATCCATGTCCTAAAGAAGAAAAAAAGTGTAACTCAGAGTTGAGCCATAGAATTCACTGTAAATGTATTCACAAACAGAGATACAATTACGTAACTTGTTAGTTTGAGGGCTGCATTTTTACAGTTGAAAAATATCTGGAACTCCAAACAACTTTCAACCAAAATCAAAATCAGGATTTTCAATACAAATGTCAAGACAGTTCTACTGTACGGCCAATCGTAGTTCTATTTGCATATATTTATTTGATTGAATAATAATCATCATTTGTCGCATGTCATGTTTGATTCTGACTTATGTTACGGTAGATTGAATGGAGAGTATTGTCTAAACTATTTCTTCAATGTGTAAGTGTTATCATTGAAGTTACAGATAATGTGTTGTGTACGGAAGCTGAGTAATATTTTATGAATGTTTAAGTGCTTCTAAACTTAGTATCGTTTGAATAAAAGAGTGTTAAGATGTTCAACAAGGACCAGAAATTGGGTTAAATACTAAAACTTTATTCTGTCTTATTTGATGTCTGGAAAAGAATTCCATAAGTAAACCTTACTTGTTGGTGTACAATTGGAAACCAAGTATGCAATGATGTAGTCAGCTATTGAGTTATGGTAATAAGTTTATTCAGCATTTTTCTTTCACACAACTAACAATTATTTCCGCAACCAATTCAAATAGGATGAGAAAATAAACTTTTTCATTGAGACAAAATTTTAAAAATAACCAACCTGAACCGCCTTGGAAGATAGATATTTTCAGCAGGGTAATTTTAGACAAATTATTGTATACATTACAATCTGTTAGTGTTACTTTGACGTAAGAATTTTCATGAAGCTGTGTCTTCCTCGTTAATAAGACTTAAATTAAAAGTGACTACCAATTCGATTTCATGTTTGTGGCACTTGATGGTTTGAAAAGAAACCTATTGTTTCAGTTCTAAAACAGCATAGTCATTTATAGATGTAGGGTATTTCTTAACCTTCTCTAAATGGACTAATTTTCAAAAGCTTTTTTTACTTGACTATTTTGATATTTATCAGACATATTTGTTTATTTGTCTTATTATTGTTGAGGTCAAAAAAGACAGATGGTATTGGAATTGTGCATCTATAGATATGTATTAATACTGGAAGAAGTATGCATCCAGCTTATTTTTCGTTCACAGAAAAATTCCACTGAAATAATCTTTGATCAGTGGATGCATATTGAATGTGCTTGTGTGTTGTATTAATTAGATAGATGTTTGTCAAATAAAGTTTCATATACTTATATTTGTTAAGTAAACTGTGTAATCCAATGTAGTTGGAGAGTGTGGGTTTCCTTAACAGCAGTGGTGGTTGTGATTTTGAAGAAAGCACAAATTATTTCAAGGTTGTAGCTAGTTATATGTCTTGGGAGTAGTTGTAAGAAATTCTACCGGTGATCTTTAAGACTGCTAGTAACAAATACAATTCGTTGATGATATTCAATAATGATGTAGTTAGTTGGTTAGGTTATTTGGTTCTTGTGTGGTTGTGTGACAGGATTTAGTTGTGCTGTTCTGTTTGTAAACAGACTAAATGTCATCTTAAAACCGGTATAAAATTACCATGTTTCACTGTACGTTTATAACTGTAATGTGAAGTGTTAGTTCAAGAGTTGAGTTGTTCCATTTTAGCTACTGTGCAACCGGCATAGCACTTAACGTCTGTCGAGAAGGCAGGTGCGCTAATCAGTATTTGTTCGGTTACAAAAACGAATATGTCGTTGGTTATTTCATTGCAATCTAAAATGTTTGACATCAAGTTACTATGTATTTGTTCTTTTTTTGTTTCATCGTTGTTACAATTCAAATGGTGGTTGTGTTATAACACGTACATGTATTTCTATGTTAAGAAACCGATTTTTGTAAGAAAATGTAGGATTGTTCTTTGCATATAATCACTCTTCGATAAACATAACATCTAAATATTTTCGATTTCTATCTTTTTTTGAAATTTCCTTATTTATTTCTTACATGTATTTTATTTCTTTTCAATTTCTAGGTCTTTTATTAGGTGTAGTTATTTTACGCAATATAAAAGTCCAACAGTGGGAAAAAGTTTTCTCTTGTATTTGCATTCTATTATTCATCGTATCTGCTATAGCAGCTATATTATTCAATATCATTTGTTATAGGATTAATGAATGTCCTGCATTTGAATGGAATACCAAATGATTGGTTAGAATAATATTTTTCTTCAGAGATTGTATATTTTATATTTTCTGTTTTCATGTTATTTCACTGATTATTTTTTGTCCGTTATCTCATTATGAAGTTATTAGAGTTATTGTATTTTGCAGTACTGTCAGCGGAATATTCTTACTACCATATATCTTTGATATAATGTGATCCGAATTTGTAAAAAAATAGTTTATATTTATTTTTTGTATTTATCTTTTGTATTTTTTATATGTTAACAACATCTCTGTAGGAAATTATCATTCTCATTCTTGTTTTTTTTTCTGTACAAAATCAATCTTGTGATCATTAATTAAACACAGATGTATAATCTTATCTAATTGACCTTTCATATAAAAATTCTCGTGCTTGGAAATTTCTTGATGCATATTTTTGCATACCTACGCCAGTTAAAAAAAAAATAACAATGCTATCGTTGAACTACATAATTTTTTTCTTGTTTTGTTTGGAATATATTACTTTTAATTGCTTTTATTTGCCAGTTGGTTGTATCTTTTTTGCTGAAGAAGCTTTCAATCTCTGTGATTATTTGTGTATATTTGTGTTGATTTGGCTAAGATTTTTTTTTCTTCTCATTAATTAAATTGATTTTTTTTTAATAGGCTTTATTTAATTGTGCATCAGACAAACTTTTGTTTTGTAATTTACCGGTTTATCAAATTTTTTCGTTTAAGTTTAATTTTTTTTTTATAAATTTGATGAAAGTAGTGTTAACAGTAATTTTTCTATGAAAGTAACATATCAGAACAAATGAAAAATGATGAAGATTGTTTTTCATAAAATTTTTATGTAATCCAGTTTTTAATTAGAGTATATTTTAATATTTTCAGAAGTAATCCTAATGATGAAATCTTGACAGAAAAATACTAACATTGTGTACGTGTTATTTTATTTTAAAAATGAGATATTAAACGTATAATTGTATTGACATCTAGCCTTCCGAAACTGATTAAATACTAATGACAAAACAGTAAATTTTCGGGAGATTTTACTAATGTATAATCTTTTACGAACTTGAGTTACTTCTATGTCGAACAATTTAGAACAACAGTGTATTATTTTATGTAGACATATAAAGAAGTCATAAGTTTACTGTTAGTTGTGCCTGGATAAAAACGCCTTACACACAGGTTCTTTTAGGGACGGAGACTTCGATTTGTAAATCAATACTAGGTTCGAGTGACTCACGTTTGGTAAGTAGTCTATACAATAATATTTTTTTAGGATTTAAAGTAGTGAAAAATATTTAGCAAGTGAGAATGCTTAATGTTTTGAGGACGATACTTTCGAATTTATTGTCTCAAATCGATAGCTAATATCTTGCTGTACTTGGTTGTTCCGCCTATTGGATTCGTTAAATACGATGACGATGTTTGACGACCTTTCTATATTTATCGCTTCTGTAGCATTTACTGAATAGGAGAAACCTTAAAACTATTGTTGTTAAAAATTGTGTGGTTTTATAAGATATTGTAACAGATTCCATGTGCTTAATTTCATTGAGTTCCCTATTAGACTCAACTTTAGTGATCTCTTGGCCTATTTCATTATATTTTTATCAGTTGATTCATACTACTGAAAAGTAGTTCCATTTAATAAATCTAATTTTCAGCATCACGTGTGTTAGTCTGTGTTGATCGTCTAGGACCGTCTTACCATACATCAATGACAAAAATTTTCATATCTTTTCAAGAATTGCGTGAATTTAAATTACAATATCTAAATTAGTCAGATGTCTATTTTATTTATTCCTAAATTGAACAGAACGTCAAAGGGAAGGTATTTGACTGAGCATGTTTAACATCTTTCGGATTTTTATAATTTTTAGTTTATGAACCCAAAAAACAATAATTACGTTTATTAGAAACGGAAAGTAGTTTTGTACGATAAAATTAACGTATCCATAAATTTAGTTAAGTGGAGAAAAGCACCAGTTTCTCAGTTATCATTTCCCTAAAGTTAACTGCTAAATAATATGAAGCTAATGGACGTGCGATTGTAAATAATTGATATCAATAGCTTTCCAAACGGAGCAATCGACACTGCATATCTAGGCCTATTCAAATAATTAGTTTGGAATAAGTTAATAATACCCAAAGAATGTGACAGCGTAACATTCCGTTCACCTTTCTTTAATTTTACTGACAGAATGAAGTATCTTAAAAAGTAGAGTGCAAAATGTTAATGTCTAGACTCGGAAACTGAGCAAGGTATTTATTTTAAATAGGTCACATTAACTTCATCATTAGGTTATTTTTTAATTATGAAGAATAATTTGAACATTTCTAGTATTACAATTTTGAAGGAGAAATTCAAGCAGACTAGTAGTTTCTGTTAAATCGCTACAAACCTTGAGAATCGTCAGTGGAAAAAATCATATTGGATGCATTCCAGTAACCTGGATTACTTGCGCTTCATTAAAAGTATGTTAAAATGATTGGAAGTTGGATAATTATTCGATGGGGACGTGCAGTCGAATTCGAATATGTCAGTATGTAAACACTTCTTTGGGAAACAGTTTCGAAAAGAATTTTTGAAACATGTATTGTGAAGTAGTTGATTGTATCTTGATGGGATTTAAAAATTGTCATTGGAATCTTATTACAACTAGTAACTTCATCAAAAAGTATGCATGATTTCACTTAGCTTAAATCCATAGTCTGTTAGTCTATGGCTGTTCATGAGTATATGTTTTTTAAAGGAAATTTTCGTTAGCCTTACAATAAATTATTTCCACCAACAGGCAGCTAAAAATTTTAAAGATTGTCTTTTGATAAAACAGACATATCAATATCAAAAAAACTTTTAGCAACTTGAGGAAATTGATCCTACTCATGTTTTGACATTAGGTAAGCGGAAGTCGTGTTTGCATTAGCTAAAACGGAAAACAATAATAAGAAGAATTATTCAAGTACACAAACAGATAGTATTTACTCGTATTAAATGTGACTGAGGTTACTTTACTTATTCATAAATAGTTCGTTTAATGTACATATAAACTGAATTGTGGAACAAAATACCTCGTCCCATTTTAATGTATTGATTAGTAAGTTTTTGTAAGAATGAACTTTTTAACTGCAGCATTTGTGTTAATTGACTGCATGCTATTTTTATGAAGTTCGTATTTAATTATTTATTTTATCATGATTTTGCTGATCAAGATGATAAACTTATTTAAAACAAGCTGATTTTTAGTAAATTTTTCGGGAAAATACACGCAATTAATGAACACTTAATTAATCGTCAATACTGTGTCCCTAATACTCTTGACCCAGCCCAAATTAATAGGAATACATAACGCATGAAGAATGTATTTTGCAAATAAAATATCGCCTCATATATAAAGATTCTTATTAGTGATTATTAATTTCATTCAAATAATTATAAGATAGAAATAAGTTTCAAATTTTTTTAAAGTTACAGCATAGTTTATACATAAAAAAAATCATCAGAATGCGGTCAAATAACATAATAAAATATGAATGAATAGCGAAATTTGTCAAAATTTAATCTAATAATGGTTTAAATGAACGATTATAACATTGAATCAATTTTCATACTAGAGATTAGGATTACACATTATGTTGATTCAAATCTTTTTACAAGAATTTTATCAACTATAATTTATTTTACTGATAGATACGTTTGAGTTAAAGCAGTTAGTTTTACTCAAACTAAGAGATTTTATTTATTCACGTTAGAGATTTTAATAATGAGAAATCTCATTGAATTGTTTGTTTTTTGTGAGCAATTATCTACTATGTTATTAAAATGCTAATGCTGTATAAATTATATACATGATATTAATTGTTCAATCATTTTAAAGCTTTGTTAAAATTAGATAACATTTTTTCTCATGTTATATTTCTATCCTTTTGGAAAATGTAAAGAATAACTTATGAAAATAACAGAAGCTTATTTATTCTACCGACTCTCAAAATAAATGTATCATTATTACTGAAAATTATATGATTAAGTAACCAGTGAATAGGTTTTATAGAATGTCAAGTAACCGCCTAATTACTTGGATCATATCAGTTACAGGAAACATCATCTGGTAGACATGCTTTTAAATTAAATCACGAATCAACTACAGTCTGTCATCATTTTTATCTTAGAGTATAATCACTACTCTTAGGTTAATGATGGTTATACTTCTAGGAATGAACAACGGGGATGAATTAATGCAACTAGCTTTCAACATGAAATTATACGTGTTTTTGTAGGCATTATTGTTATGATACACATGTGTAAGAACGACAGTGTTAATACTGGGAATCTAAACTAACTTTTCATTCTGATATATTTGTTTCCTTGTATTCCCTTTCTAAAAGTTTTAAATTCAACTTTAAGGAACAGTCCTAAAATCAGATGTGTTAAAATGGGAGTAACTATGACTCTCTTAAGGTAGCCAAATGGCTCGTCATCTAAGTGAATGAGTATATTAGGTGACCTGCATAAATGGAGCTTTTTGGGGGTTGTGGTGGTGGCCACCACTTCGTGGTCCTGCCAGGCAACGTGGCGTTGTTTACAGCGCTGCGGCTAAAAGCTTTCTTGAAGGCGGCCCTAGACGATTGGTTTTGGGGAACCAGCCGTAAAGATCCTGGACTATTGACGCCGACCCTATTTGGTTGTCCCAAACACTGCATCTCGGTGTATTGTGTGAACTGGCGTCGGGGCCCCTTAAACAAGGGTCTCCATTTGGGTTATGTGATCTGGTGCTGAAAGGGTACTGGACGCCAATGATATCTGCCAACTTATGTAGTGGGATTAACCCTGCTTGGCTGAGTGCTTGCGATTGGTCGAGTTCATGACATCTACCCCATGGGAGGGTGCACGTTCCGGCTGACCTTGTGGGACAAACTCGATCTTTAGCTTCATGTGGGGTTTGGGGGCTCAGATCGGTAATCCGTTTTGGGGTGCCAGGTCTAGCTGTAAAAGTCCGCCTTGCTGATTGGGGACTGTGGGTAGTAGATTGGTTGGAGGGATTGAGTTGATTCATCAGTGCCCGAACGGGGGCCACTGCTCATGTGCGTGCTTATTGGACGTCCACTTGTCTGCAGACCAATCTAGACAGCATGTGCGTTCCCATATGGGGCAGGGGTGATCGAGAAATTGGCTTTTGTGTGAATCCTTGTGTTGCCTGAAAAGCAGCGGCGTGCATGTGCAGCAGGCTTGTTGGTTAACCAAGAATATACCAAAAAATAATTAATAGACTTGTCAGTTTACTAGAAAGTTGATTTTATCTATTGCGTCAATGGCAATGGTACTATATAGTTTGAAAATTGTTTATTGATGTCATTATTGTTTTATGAAAATAAATCGTATTTTAATGATGCATTTGAATTTTATAAAGAAAGATGTTTGACTGAATTTCAGGTAGCATCAATGTATTATGTGCCTGTTCGTAAGACAAGTTAAAATAGTGTTTTTAGTTTCCTTCTCCTAAATGCACTTATGGGAATTACTACTTTTCGTGATTATAATTTGTACTGTTTAACTAGAACAGCCTTGATTCATTATCCCATATTCGATACAATCAAAAGTAATTATGATTTGAATCGTGATTAAAACATTTTGTCGGTTCAGAGCTCTGTCAACTGTTACTTGATGGTAATTTTATTCACATTTTTCTGTAGTATTTCAATCTATCTTATATTCCATCCTCCTCTACATTTTATTACTCTGGATACGTGGCACTAGATTTTAATACCATCTAACTCAAATCCTTACGATCACTATAGATATTTTCGTGTTTTAAATTAACTATGAAATAATATTTATAAAACTAAACACATTATTGAAATCATGTACTGGTCACTGTTAGACCACCAGTAGAAACCGTGCAAGTACTGAATGATCGTTTCGCCTGAGTGTGGGA